GACTTGGGAAAGTTTAAACGGTGAGATCTCATGTCCCTGCCACACGTTCGTGACTGGGGAAAGCTGGAATGGTGAGAAAACTCAGTTAGCCCTGCCACACGTTCGGGATGATGTAACTACTCAACATAATAAATACCAACTTCGGTTCGTAACTTTCCCCCGCGATTATGAAGTTCGGGCTCGCCAATGCTCTCCCGCGACCGATTCTGACTTGGCCGGGGATAATCAACTCTCAGGGGTGAAGGGGGGTATGATTTATCATCCGCGGTGTTCTGTTGTATGTGCGCGCTGTGTGTTGAATGCTGCCTGCAGCACTCTGAGTGCTGCAAACGCCAGGCAACGCACGAGGAGGCCCTGGAGTTCAGAATTCGGAAGCTGCATGTAGCCAGATGAACCCAAGGGGATCGGGTTCGCAACTGGTCGCAGATAAGTTGGAATGAACGGCTTGCTTGTTAGCGCGATGGTGTTACCACTGTATCCTTGCGCAATAAGTGGCTACCCTTACAAATCGAACCACCATTTAATAATCTACATGGTCGTTGGCCAGATACGCAGGCGGTGCACGCAGGACCCCCGCTCCGCTAACCACCAGTTATGGTGGTGCACCGGGATGGTGATTCGGAATTTTCGGCTTCATAGTTCCATGAGCCTGACTGTTTGTGCACCAACCACCAAAGCCCCAGCCACCATTTCGGAAATCGGCATGAGGGTGAGGGGAACATCAACCTTGAATCGGCCTATCCCTGAGAGGCGGCCAGGGGTCTAACCTGGATGGGCCCCGAAGAAGACTGTCAAAACGGGGGGATGAAGGACAATCCGCCCAAAAATAATACCCCGGACCTTTTCTGGGGTTCATCTATGGTGTAACTTTCAACCCCGTCTCCGTTTTCGACGGTCTCGTGGCGACAAAAACCAACCACAAAAAACTCTCTCGCACCCAGCACGTCGAACCTCGCCCCCGTACCTGCTCGCCGGAAACGAACCTGTGCGGGGCCACCTCAGACCCCCAGCCAGCTCCGAGTACGATGCTCACAAGTGGTCCGCGGACCCTCAGGCCTGACGTTGCAACAAGAATGCAACATCGCCAAACATCACGACCTAAGCCCGAGAACACATCTTTCTGCATCATTATTGAAGCCGGAGGGATCTGTGAGGGTCCCGGTCCGGAAAGTGGGCGGAAACGCCCATGGTGAAAGAATTGCAACGGATCTCAGGGGCTCGCCATTGCTCAGACGCCCACTCATGCATGTTTGTTTCATTTTGTGAGTTGATTTTTCGTTCCCGCAAGATGTGCTACTCGATGGCATTACCAAAAAAAAATGCACACGTCCGAGAGATGCCATGGGGGACATCGTTTCCCCAGAGCGCCGGCCTTCTTGGGGACGCACTGACCCGGGCCAATGCAAACCCGGTTTAGACAGGACTTGCAGCATCCTGCAGGATCCTGCGCGCTGACCCCGCTCAGCGCACCTCTGGCTCTGCTGGAAGTCGCGTAATGGGGGGGGCGATGCATATGGGGGGGCTGCGATTGCTGCAGAAAAGGGCTCTTCAGGGCCCCTAAAGGGGGCCGTTAGGGCCCAAAAGAGGGCCTGCAGAGGCCGAGAAGTGAACCTTTCTCCCCACTCATTCATCGCCCCCTCCTCGTCCACCTCGTCCTCCTCGTCCTCCTCGTCCTCCTCCTCCTCGTCCTTCTCCTCCTCCTCCTCCTCCTGCGCCTCCTCCCCCCATTGAAAGACGCCCAACTCTGCAGGATCCTGCAAGACTTGGCGCCCTGGCCGACCCCCGCTTGCGTGGTCCCTCCGTCTCCAGGCTCCCCGCCTTCGCCAGCAGGGCCGCCAGCGCCGGCGCCGCACCGGCGGCGGAGGCGCTCTCCTGGGCGCCAGCGTTGCCCAGGGCCACGTTGGCGAGGGCGCCGGCGGCCCACTCGGCGGCCTCGCGCGGCGGGAGGCTTCCCCGATGGGGCGGCGCGACAGCGGGCCCGTGGCCATCGCACGCGAGGGCCCCCTGTGCGAGGCGGGGGTTGATCCAGATCCACCGCCTGGGAACCGACGTCCTGGTGCCCCAGCGGGCGGTGGATCTGGATACAGTTTGGCCCTCGGGGGGCAGACAATTTCCAGATCCACCGCCTGTGGAGGTCCGCGAAGATTGAACCCACAGGCGGTGGTTGTGGATACCTTCCCGCCTCGGACCCCTGCGCCCCGAAACCATCGCGACGGGCGGTCTGAGCGCGTTTCTCGCTCGGACTCAGGCACGTGTTAACACTGGGATAACGTTTCCCCTTCCCTGCAGGGCGTGAAAACGACCACAGCCACCGCTTTTCTTTTGTTGCCGCCTTCCAGCCCGCAGAAACAAAGCAGTGGCTGTGGTCATTTTCGTTGAGCTTGGCACCAGGGAAATGACCAGAGCCACTGCTTCTTTTTCGACCGGCTGGAAGGTGGCGCGAACAAGAAGCAGTGGCTGTGGTCATTTTCCAGTCCCGCATTCCCCCCCCCTCCGCCGCCTTTTCGAGAAGAGCTGGGCCGAAGAGGCGTGCAAAAAGAGTCCCGACACTTGCGTGAAGTCCGATTTCCTCTCGGGCCTCGCCCCCCCCCTCCCCCCCGATGCACGAGACTTGCCAGAAGATGTGGGAAAACCTGCACTTGACAATCATTGTCCGGCCTCCGGGCACCCTCGCTGGGCTCCAGGATCAAAAAACGGCTCGGGATGAGAAACGGAACCCCAGGGAAGGGCTCTGGACCTCGAGCCACGCGCGACGTCGGATGTCTGGTCGGGAGGCGTCCCCCATGGCGACGTCAGCGGGAGATGCTAGCGTCCTCTTTCTAAGGAGGCAACGTCGGGCAAACCTTCATACAAATGCTTGAGGGCTGTGCCCGGTTAAGGGGCCTCTGACTTGGATCGACCTAGAATAGGCCCGAAATGAAGCTCGAAACTCAACCCGACGAAACCGGATTGAACGGAATTCACAACGGTTATAGCAGCGCCGATGATGAAACAAACGTTCCAGGAATTGCGACCTGATCTCTCTACCGCCCTCTATGCCCCTGTGCGTGCAGGCGGCGACGGAGCGACGCTGCAGTGCAGCACAACGCCCTTCCTCCTCGTCCTCGGCCCTCCTCCTTGTCCTCGTCTTCAGCGCCCTCCTCCTCCTCCTCATCCCCTCGTCATCCATCATATTTCACATCCTGCTATACCTTCTATCTGTACTCAGGGTGCGATGAATTGCGGCCCCGTTCCCTCTGACCTATCGCTACATCCTTACCCAATGCTTGTCATCGGAAGATTTGAACGGCGTTTTGCCATTGCTTCCTCCGATGTTTCCCTGGCTTCCACATAATATGCTCTGTCCAGGCCTCCAAGCCGCCTCCCTTTTATCTATTGGGCGCCTCCTGGGGCCCTCCTGGCAGGTTCTTCAAGACCTATTTGCTGCCTTTGGGCTCCTTGGAACCTCCTCGATTCGTCGTGGAGTCCTCCGGAGGCCGTCCGCGCGGGTCCAGCAGCAAACCCATTGCACAGACTATCCACCTCTGCCGTTGCTGCGGTGAGTGCTTGTCAAGTCCTTCTGGGGCAGAGGACTTCTGCAACCAGTGAGTGCCGATCCGCCCACCATTCTACATTCTAGGATCTAGAGGGAGAGAGAGGAGCGATATGTATACATATACAGAGGAAGGGACAAAAATAACGAGCGAACGCGAGAACGAGAGAGAGAGAGAGAGACAGAGACAGGGGGAGAGATACCAATTACGAACACAGTGTCGAGTCTGCAATGTCGGAGACCGCAACGGCTCTCTTCTTGCAGTCGACCCGCATCGTGAGGATGCGCGATAAGGATGCAAGGGCCTTGGAAAACCGTCTCGAAGCTTGCCGAGCGGGGCGCGGCCAGCGAGAGAAGACCAGGACGGACCGAGGATGCAGCTGCAAGGGGTGCCCTTGGGAAGGTCCCTTCTCCTTCCTGTGCGGGTGGACTGGAAGGCCCCAGGGGGGCCGAACACGTCCACGTCCAATGACGCCCCCCCCCCCTTGGTCACCTCTCGGGGAGACGTTAGACTCGGGTTCGAGGGACTCGGCTTGGCCTGACGGGGCCACCATGAAAATGCCGAGACCCCATCGGAAATTTGACGCGAGCTCCCGCTGCAAACCTCCCACGAAAATCGGAACGTCAAGATCCAGGACGCGCTCGTCCAAAAAAGCGTCGACAAGCCCGAGCTCCGGCGCACTCGAGTCTTACGTTTCCCTTGACCAGAGCCTGTTTTTTTGGATTCAGGCAAGGTTACTTGCATGGCGTTTCGCCCCCCCCCCCCCCCTCGCCCCTCTTCAAGCGAACACTAGCGTGCAAGTGCCTTTCGACTTGCGTGATTTCCGCGCCCCCCGAACGTGCAAGTTGTTTGCGGCTTGCTTCAGGCTCAGCCCCCCCCCGTCCATGCAAGTAAACTTTGCCAGAGTCTGAAAAAAAACAGGCTCCCACCTCGCGCTTCTCGCACCGCCCCGCCCGGAGAGAGGGCGGCGCCCCCCTCCGGACCGCGGCGCGCGGGACACCGCCGGCCACCGCCGCGCCCCCGCGGGTGGCCCCAGTGCCCGAGGTCCCGGACGGCTCTTCCTTGGAAGGAGGCTGCTCCTCAGAGGGCGCCGCCCGTAGAACCATGGAGGAGGCCCGCGCCTGCTATGGCAGCAGGGGGTGCTTCTGAGGAGCCCTCCTCCTCCTCCTCCTCCTCCTCCTCCTCCTCCTCCTCCTCCTCCCCCCTCCTCCTCCCCCTCCTCCTCCCCCTCCCCCTCCTCCTCCTCCTCCTCCTCCTCCTCCCCCTCCTCCTCCCCTCCCCCTCCCCCCCTCCTCCTCCTCCTCCTCCTCCTCCTCCTCCTCCTCCTCCTCCTCCTCCTCCTCCTCCTCCTCCTCCTCCTCTCCTCCTCCTCCTCCCCCTCCCCCCCCCCACCCCCCTCTGCGCGCGGCCGAGAGCTGAGACCACGGCGGCTCGAACCAGCCCCGGGACCCGTCGCGGGGTCCGAGCGAAAAAACCATGGTTCCGAGCCGCGTCCAGCCGTGGCGTCGCTCTGCGCTGGCTCGGGGCCCACCAGAGAAGGGGGGGGGCTTTGTCGGCGCAGCGAGCCGCGTCCAGCCGTGGCGGCACTCTGCGATGGCTCGGGGTCCACCAGAAAAGGGGGGGGGTCGTCGGTGCCCCGAGCTGCCGCGAACGGGTGCCCCCCCGCGTGCCCCACCAGTCGGCAGCCATCGGGAGCAGCTGGCGGCCGGGGGGCATCTGCTTTGGGCGGCTCGGTGCCAAGACTGTCAATACTGCATCCAATGTTTCTCCTTCGCCGCCAGCGTTGCTCGCCATGGCAGGCCTGTTTTACAGTTTCGCCGTCCTCACGAGCGGGGCGTGACGCTTTGAGGCGTCCGATCGGACCTTTGCTTTGCTTTGGTGCCCAGACCGATCGAGCTCCCCCCCGGGCCCCCCCCCACCCCATGCGGGAGCCCGCACGGCCCCAGGGCCCGCTGCCGGGCGACAAAACGCCCGGGGCGGCGCCTGGTGGCGACGGAGGGCCCCCCCGAGGGCGAGCTACAGTCATCGCCCTGGCCTAAGGAACGATAAATCAGGAACGAAGCCCCTTTTCTCCAGGGAATAACGCATGAGGAACGATAAATAAAACATAATGCAGAAGGAACGATCAATGGAACGACCGAGCCCCTTTTGAAAAGTAAGCGTTCCGTATTCAAGCCGCTCACTGTAAGGTTATCCAAACTCGCCCTCTTCGGAAAGACGGTCGGTGCCCCAGGCGGTGGACGGTGGGCACGGGGAGGCAACTCCCGGGAAGTTTCGGCCAAGCGCTGAAGGGCAACGGCGCACGATTGCGGGGCCGCTCCGACGGATTCACCGCATGAAGCTGGGATTCATCCGGACTGAACGAAACGAAGCTGGATTGGCCAGGATTGAATAAGATCACGCGGGATTAAACCGCACTCGGCCAATTTTCGACCACTGATATACCAATGCGCCAATGACAAATTCTGACCTCATCCTAAGGTTTGCACGCCCGAAGTGGGTACGGTAAAAATTGGTACGATGCTCACCAGCACATGATGATGTCCAAGATGGGCAGGCGGAATTGCCCCAGCTGGACACCGTCCGCGGCGACGCCGACAACGATCCCTTTCTAAAATGGGCAGGGAATACTGTCGGTCTTCGTACCTAATCTCGACCGCACCGAGTTCCGAATTCAACCTCCGGGTCTTTCGGTGGCAACTCGTGGGGGCCTGTCGTCTAACGACTCTAGCACCGCAACTCCAAGGACCGCTCCCAGTGCGCCTTCTGACCAGAATTCCGAGGCGAATCAGGCGGTGGCGACGAGGGCATCGCAGGAAGCCTAAGAAGAGGAACACGAGGGACTGGTAGCGGTATGGCTACCTCCTCTAAAAGAAAAAGTAATATAAACTTAAACTTTTGGCGCTCCGCGCGGACTTGGATCTACGCTGGACCCCTCTCCCTGGCGCTCCAACCTCACTTCCCCCAGGCGCGCCGCCGAGTTCAATTTTCGGGTTACTCAGATCTGCGGGGGCCGTTCGGGACGATCCAGGCACTCCCGGCACGCCCTCGGCGAGGCGCAGCCGCTGGAACGCATCTCGAGGCCGAAACACCGCCGAGAACCGAAGAGAGCGTCAGGAACACCTCGCACCCCGAACCTCGAACCTCGAACCTCGAATCTCGAACCTCGAGTCTCGAAAACTTCCCGCTGGGTGCGCCGCCGAACGACGGCGGCGCCCACAGAGGGCGGAGCGCCCGCCTGCGTGGCTGGCCCGCGCAGCATGGCCACGAGCCTCGGCACCGCGCCGCCGCACCGCGCCGCCGTCTGCGGCGCCCCCGCCTCGCGGGAGGGGCGCGGAGGCGACGACGGCCGTCGCGGCAGCAAAAGCCGAGTCCGAGCACGCAGGAGACCGTTTCGTGCAATCGGCGGTAACCTGGATTATCCGAGGGGGGGGGAGGAGGGGGCCGGCCGATGACCTAACCTCCGCGCTGCGGGCAACCCTGCATGTGCCCGCGACGCCCCGCCCCAGACCTGCACAACCGGCAAGGTTATCCGGGGGGGGTGGTGGAAGGGGGAGCAAGCCTGATATCCCGGGTTATCGCCTGACCATTAGAAAAACAATCTCCAAGCAACCGTTCTCGCATGGCGCTCCGAGATCGGGGGAACCCCCGTGAGCCCGCACTCAAAAGGTCACGCCGGCGAAGGGTCACTCTCTCGTGCAGCCGAGCCAAGGAGAGGAGGGAGGCTGGACAGGTGCCGACATCCAACGTCTCTAGGGCTCTGGTGGGAATCCCATAGCACCCAGCAGGGGCGCAGGGAGGGGCACAACACCCACGCGCCCCCCTGCGTTGCGCGCGTTCGTGCACCACCAGCGTGGCGACCTTCGGTGTCGCTCCCCCCCCCACCCGGTTTGCGTTGCGATCCCCTTGGGTGGCCACATGCGAACCCTACCCCCACCAACCATTGATTCTCCTCAATCGGTGAGAGGCTGGGGTAGGGTTCGGATGTCGCCACGTGTTCGACGCATGCCGAACCCTACCCCCCCCGCCCATCGAGTCGCCAGAACCGTTGATCGGCGAGGGTATAGGGTTCGGATTTCGCCGCCGCGCGGAGGATCACGAGCGGCGACCATGTCCGTATCTGCGCCCTCGCGGTCTGTACTCCAGGAAGCGAGCCCGCGGATACCTGGTCGCGCAGACACATTCCGCGCGGCGGGGCATCCCCGAAAAAACGCCCCGCATCCGCGGGGTCGCGGCCCAGGGGCCCAACCCGCGAGGCCGCGGATGCGGCATGTTTTGCGCCCACGGGAGGAGTAGGAGGATGAGGAGGAGCAGGCTCGAGGAGGAGAAGGATGGGGAGGGGGAGGGGAAGGGGAGGGGAGGAGGAGGAGAAGGAGGAGGAGGAGGAGGAGGAGGAGGAGGAGGAGGAGGAGGAGGAGGAGGAGGGGGAGGCGGAGGTGGAGGAGGAGGAGGAGGAGGAGAGATCGGCGGCACGCCGTGGGGGAATGCCGAGGGGTCCGGCCTTCTCAAGGGCGGCGGGGCTTCTTCGAAGCCCTCGCGCGCCCTCTGAGAAGCCGTCTGCGCCGACTCCGATCCCACGGACGACTTCCCGGAAGGCCACCCAGGCCTCCAGCATGCCCCTCGGACACCCCGAGAGGCGCCTCAGGGGGCAGCTGGTCCACGACCTTTGCACGGTGGCGGTACGGGCCGAGCACAGACACGCTTCCGACAGCCACGTGTTGAACAATCACAGGGGCTAAGGACACGTGGCTGCTGAGAAGGCCGTCTGCCTGCCCCCCCCTGGCCGCGCCGCGGAGGAGAGAGGCATGATCTTCAGCCTCGTCAGGGGGACGTCACGCGACCACCTCGCCGATGCTGGCCAAGCCATTCCTCGGCTCAGGAACCGTGCCTGCGCCATACGAGGCAACTCATGCGAGGTGTGCTCAAGACCCATGAGACTAATATTAAGCCCGACGAGGGGGCCATTAAGCCAGATTAGCCAAGATTCAGCCCAAAATTGAACCAACTGATGCGGGATTCAGCGAGATCAAGTGGGATTGCGCGGGACTGTGCCCGATTAGGCTGCCCTGCGACCAAGGATGAACCGGCGCTGGTGATGAGTAAAACCACTCAGCACTTGCACCTGCATGCTGCGCCCTCCTGGCTGGCCCAAATGTCCGTGCACACCGATGCCCGGCTCGGGACGGGGCCGGCCAGGATCAGTGATCGGCAGCGCGCCCGGGCGGGGAAGGTGAGCAGGAACAGGCCTGCTCAAAGGCGGCGGGGCGTCTCGGAAGCCCTCTGGCCTCCTGAGCAGTGCCCTGCGTCCTCGGGGAGGGGCCCAGAGCGCTTCTCAGAAGGCCCGAGGCCTTCCGAGCCCTTCCGAGAGGGCCCGCCCCGGCTCATTTCCCCCCCCAGGCTCGCCGCCGACGTGAGGTGGTCGGTGGAGGTCGCTCGACTCGTCGGTCGCCTCCTCTCCCTCCCCTGGAAGGCAAGGCGGCAAACCGCGGCCTCTGCGGGGCCACCCGGGGAGCTCTGGGCTCCCTGCGAGCCGCCGGGCAGAGCGGGCCCCGTGCGTCGGGGGGCCCGCGAACGGAGACTGGGGCCCGGCTCGAGTCGTGGAGACGAAGTGTGTGCGCGCGCGCGTCCTCCCCCCCCTTCCTCCCCCTCCCCCGCTCGTTTCGTCCCTCGTCGTCGTCGTCCCTCCCGTCCTTGCCACTGGGCTCCTCTTGCGTTGGTAAAAAAAGTGCGGCAGGCAGCTGGGGATCTCGAACTCGATACGCAGTACCCCGCGGTTGCGGTTAAGAGTGGAGGGGGCGGCGGGGTAGTTGGCATTCTGCGAGTGCTCTTCAAGCTATGCAGAGATCCCGTCGCAGGCGCCGATTTCTCACTAATTACACAACGCGCCCGCCACAGGCGCGGATTTTTCAGTCAAAGCTATGTGGATGGGTCGCTGGTGGGTCGCCTGGTGGTCGCCGGGTGGGTCGCGGGGTGGGTCGCAGGGCAATTCGCGGGGCGGATCGTAGGCGGGTCGCGGGCGAGGACGACGAGACGACAACAGCAACGCAACAACAACGCAACAACAACGACGACACAACAACACCACCACCACCAACAGCAGCAACAGCAACAGCAACAGCCACAGCAGCAACAACAACAGCAACAACAACGACAACAGCAACACAACTACAACACTAGCAACAGCAATGATAATTACAACACCACCACAAACAACAACAGCACAGCATCAGCAACAACAACCACAACAACTACAACAACAACATAAACAACAACGACAACAACAACAACACCACCACCACCAACAACAACAACAATACCACCACCACCAACAACAACAACAATAACAATATCAACAGCAACAACAGCAACAAACACTCTAAGACTGTTCGCTCTTTCCTGCTCTCGTGCAAATCAACACGTATATCCCAAACCGTCGATACCCGCCCTCTTCGTCTGCGATCGTACCCCCTTTCGGAGTGTATCTGTCCCACCTGCAACGTATGCATTTCGTGCCGCCCGTAGGTAAGGAAAACGAGGACGGATGGAAGGAAGGGACCGAGGGGGAGGGATGAGATGGAACACTAAAGAAAATAGCAGGAGGGGGGCTAGGATGCAGGCAAGACTTGTGTCCACATCCAGTCCAGCTTGGAGTTTCGGGCTCCCTTCTCCAGAAACCCGAGGCGCACTGGATGTGGATAAAGATGAGGCCCCTGGAGGCTTGATTGTTGTCCATATCCAGTGCGCCTCGCCCTTGCAGCGTCCCTTCCAAGGAAATCCAAGACGCACTGGATATGGATATGAGCATTGCCCGCATAGGAACAGAAACCACGTGGCAAGACCAAACGGGCAAATCGGGCGGGTAGACCCTAACGGACGGTCGGAAAGGCGGGCCTAGACGGCCAGGTCGAGCAGGCGGCTTGCTAAAGCGTGCGTCTTGAATGAGTCGCGAGGAAGTCTCGAGCGATAGCGCGATACCACAATAAATCTTGGAGAAATCCACAGCGAGAGCGTGAATCCTGAGTGTCGAGAGCGTGGCGTCTGAATGAACTGCAAGGGTGTCCCACGCGAAAGCGTGATTCCTGCATAATAATATGAGGAAGTCCATCGCGAGAGCGCGATTTGGGAATCAACTGTGCGGAAATACCAGGCGGAAGCCGCTGTTGTTGTAAACCGAGGGCCAGGGGCACAGTTTGAGCAGGAAGACCTTCCCCGGTAAGAAATCCAGCGAGCCCCTGGAGGGGCACTGCAATTTCAAAGACACGTATGTTACGCGAATGCGTGAGTCCTGCATAATTCGCCAAGAAGTCTCGGGCGGGAGAGCGATTCCCAAGTAAAATGAAAGGAAATCCCGGGCGTGAGCGCGATTCCTGACTGGCGAGGGCGTGGCGCCTGACTCAATTATGAAGAAGTCACAGGCGAGAGCACTATCTTGATAAATTGCTAAGAAATCCCTGGCGAGAGCCCGATTCCTGAGTAGACTGCTAGGAAATATGGGGCGGGAGCGGTCGCTGTTGTAAACCGGAGCCAGGGGCACAGTTTGAGGAGGAAGACTTTCCTTGATAAAAACGGGGTGCGAGCCCCAGAAGGGGCACTTCAATCGAAAGACACATCTGTTACCGGAGGGGGGCATCAACAATCATTATTCTTCAGTAGTACCAGTTCAACAACAACACCAACGCCAACAAAATCTTCGCCCCCGACCATGACTTCAATTACGCGCCCAGGGACAGTGCATGCCCGTTCGGCCCAATCACTCTGACGAGCGACGGGAAAGGAATGGGTATTGCGTGAGATGACGTAGCGACCGTGCGCCGCGGCTTACGCGGGCCGTCAGTGCGGCACGCAACATTGGAGACGAGGGCGCTTACGCGCGACCTTACGCGGGGAACGTAAGCATCAATGGTGGCACAATCGACCCCGGTTTCTTCCATCGCTTAGCTGGGGATCTCGAAATCCTTCCGAGATCAGAAACATTGGGAGTTATCGAATGTATGCACAGGGGCACAACCAGTGTGGAACAGACTTTCTAAGCACAGACGGCTCACACAACGAAGATAAGTGTCCCCTCAAATCACTTGCCATGCAGCAGCGGGGCGCCGAAGTCTACACAGCCTGGACACGCACCAGCCTGAACGGACCGCGCTACTGAAGTGTAGCTGGGCGGTCTTTCGCAGGCCAGAGCAACCGCCTGGCCCTCATGGAAGGGCAGGGGAAAGGACAAGCAGGCGAGGGAGGGGGAGGGATGACGAGGGCGACAATGAGGACGAGCAAGCGCCCAGACAGATGCCTTCGGAGCGGCAGTGAGTGGACCAGGGCAGAAACGCGAAGCTGGCTTCGGGCACGGGGTTGTGCAGTGCGAGCGGATGGCCACGAGATGGGTGGATGGCTGCGGGAAGCATTTGCGATCGGCATTGCCTTAACACGGGGATTGAGAAGAGAGGAGCATCAAATGTTGGCGACATTTGACTCGGCAAGACTTCGCAGAGGTTCCCAGTCCGGGGGTGAAGACGGCCCCGACCTCCCTCCACTCCAAACTGGCTCCGATCGGTCATATGTGTCCCTCCCACTCAGCCTTGTCGAGCCTTCCGAGTTGCTGCCGCCACAACATGTTCTTTTAAATGACAAAGACCACACGTTCGTGAATGTATGCTTCCGATACGAACAATACACCAGCGGAGGACGGATGCGTGTCCTCTGTCCAATGTGGGCCCAACCAACAGGGTATACGGGATCATACGCATGTAAATCTATAGATATAACTATATTGTGTATGAATTCGCAACGCTTCTGGCTGTCACCCCTGACTCGACGGTGTTACAGTCGACGCCGGACCCTTCCCTGAAGAGGCCGTATAAGCATAGTTATAGGAGGTATCCAGATTTGCTCCTGCGTGAATCGCAGTCTGCTGTGTGGCAGAAACTTGTCGCTGATGATGCTCACGTCCAAGTGCGCCATCTATCATGCCGAAGACCAACGGTGGCACCCCGCACAACCGGAGGCGACGAGGATGCGGTGGAATGCGCAAACACGAATATACGATGCGTGGCCGAGCGCATACACCTGCGCCCTAGGGCAGTCCAGCCTTGCAGAAGCCTGCTGCCTGGCCAGCAGGATCGGATGCGTGGCACAGAGAGGCGAGGCGTGGGAGGAAGGGATCTGCGACATCCCACGGGGCGGGGAGGAGGGAGAAGGGAGGGGATGCAGCTGAGGGGAACGGCGGAAAGCCGCCCTTCATGTGCACTGACAATTTCCGCTCCCGATGGGCACGAATCGCGCTGGCCAGAGAATCTGCTCATCGGACGCTGTCTCGTCGGTCTAAAGAGGGTCGGGGAGCGGATGTGTGGCATGTGTTTGTCCATCCCGAGGCGCCGTCATATTCATCAATGCCCCAGCAGCGTACCCCTTCGCCACGTCGTCGCCCGACTCGAGCAACTTCAGCAAGTGCTCAACAGCGCCGTCCTCCACGAGGAGGGCGAAGAGAAATAGCGGTGGATGTGAAGCTTTCTCTCCATCCGTCCTACTCTGCGTTCGCGCGAGTCGAACGGCGGGCGGCACATGCCGTCGCGCAAGCTCCTTCCTTCTCCTCCTCCTCCTCCTCCGAGAGAGAGAGAGAGAGAGAGAAAGAAAGAGAGCCGAGGTACGCCCACTGAGATACAACGCCCAAGACTGTCTGCATTCGCTGTTACGCCGTCAAAACTGATACACCGTCGAGCCAGCATGGTCTATGACGTATGCCCCCCCCCCTCCTGGTCGACGCCTGCGCAACTCCGAGAAAGGCGCCCATGCACCGCACTGTGCTTGAACTCACTGCAAGCCACGCTTCCACTTAGTGCAATGCCCAGTTGTTTAGCTCTGAGCCCGAACAAAATATGCACCGCACCATGCAGTAGAGGCCTCCTCAATGGGGTCCGAGTAGATGGGGTAGGAGGATCGCGCCGCATCGTCAATACATCGCCGATGTATTGGCGATGTATAGGCGACTCATCGGCGACGTCGGCGAGGAGAAAATCGGGCTCCGCATCGAGCCGCATCGCCGATACATCGGCGTTGCGGCGTGATCCTCCGACTCCATCTACTCTACTCCGACCACACCTATCTAGGAGGCCTGGAGTTCATGGGTCTAGAGGGACCACGTCATGGATGTCCGCGCGGACATCTTGGATCGAAGCTGGATCTCCCTCTCCCTGGCGCGCGGAGCGCGCAAAGGGGCGGCGGCGGAGGCGCGGGCAAGGGGGGACAAAGCGCCGATCCGAGAACTCCGCGCGGAGCGACAAGGAATTCCTCGAGGCCTCCTAGATGGGGTCCGAGTAGATGGGGCCGAAGGACCGCATCGGCGATGCACTGGTGACGTCGGCGATGCATCGGCGACTAGAGGTCCGCGCGGCTCTCTTGGACCGGCGCTGGACCCTTCCCCACCCCCCTGGCGCGCGGCGCGCTCGAAAGGGCTGCGCCAGAGGCGCCGCCCAGGGGGCCCCAGGCGCCGATCCAAGAAATCAGCGCGGGGCGACGAGAACCTACGCATGTGCAACTTTTTTGAATGGGCCCAGGGACACACAACTGAATAAACACACAACCCCAGGATCCCCCACATTTCCATACTTGGGAATCGGCAAGGAACTGTGCCTGAGTGGTTTTGCTTCCCTCCTGACTCTTGCCCTGCGAGGGTCGGGCATCGGCAAGGCCTCGTAAGACACGAAACGCTGGCACGGTGCACGCGAGTCGCCCGCGGAGCAGCGACGTCAGCCGACCCCCGCGGGCACACCGATCGCCCAGAGCTGCCCGCTCGAGCCCGGCGCAGGCCACGGCGACGGAGAGCCACGCGCTGGAGCGGGGCGGTCGGGCAACGAGCAGGCCTCGCGCGAGGAGCGGCGCCGCGCGGGGGGCGCGACAACACGTGCTGCATCACTAAGGAAGAAAGGCACACGAACGACGAACAAGCGAACAAGAGCAAAGGACGAACGGCACGCGAAAACAACGAACATGAACGACAGCAGCAACAACAACAACAAGCACAACAACAACCACAACCACAACCACAACCACAACCACAATCACAACCACAACCACAACCACAACAACAACACCAACAACAACAGCAGCAACAGCAACAGCAACAGCAACAGCAACAACAACAACAACACCAACAACAACACCACCACCACCAACAACAACAACAATGACAACGACAACGACAACACGGGTCTTACGCGAGGTGGCACAGCGACCGTACGCGGTGGTCTACGCGGGCCGCCAGCGCGGCACGCTACATTGGAGACGAGGGCGCTGACGCGCGACCTTGCGCGGAGAACTCACGCGCGACTGTCGGCGCAATCGACAACGTTTTCTCCCGTCGCTTACATGGTCCAGCCTCGTCTCTTCTCTCCTTCCCTGCCGCCCTACTCCCCTCGCCTCGCGATGTTTAATGAGGATCCCTGCTCTCCAAGCTTCGGGGCTTGTTCAAGTGAGACGAGTTTCGCCCCTGAACGGTTCCAGCCGACGCAGTTTTTATTCGGACAGCGGGGCTGACCGAAAAACAGAAGCGGGCCAGGAACGAACCTGGAACGGGCAGGAGAGCGAGACGCCGCCGAGGAGCAAGGAGGGGAGAGGGAGAGGGAGGGACGACGACAATAAAGGACAGACCAGGCCGACAGCCGAAGGGGTGGAGGCACCGGGGGGGGGGCAATCAGCGCGCTGGATTCCGATACCGCTCGGATCGTGCAGCCTTGAACGATCAGCTCTCCAATCGCCAAATCGTTCCATCCTGGCAGAGTCTGGGCTACACTCGGACTGCTGAAATGAGACTAAGCAATGAAGCCCTTTTGTGGGGGTCGCGCACGCGCCCGCGTGGACGAGGAGCGTCAGAGCGACGGCCATGCGAGGACCCGAGGAACATCGAGCCCCTTCCAAACCCAAACCGTTCCTCGTGCCAGCGCCTCGGCTGCACCAGCAGGGTGCAGCCTGAAACGCCCGCGCTGGGGCCGCCGCCGCATCGTCACCGGAACGAGTCTGCACTGCCCGCCGTCGCCCCCCCGCCGGGCGCAGGCAGGCCACAGAGGGCCGCTCCGTCCTTGGCGAGCTCCTCCTTCTTGTCGGGGCACTTCCACGAGAGGTTCATGATGCCGAGTGCAGCCTCCGGCCGCTGCATCTGGCGATCATGCAAGACGCAGCAAATGCCTGTTCCTGCTCGCTGTGCCCGGGACCACTGTACTGTGACGGTGCGTCATGGGCATGTCAGGGCAGAAATCCCAACAGCGATGGAATCTAGCCTGACACACAACTGTGAAATTAGAACTGGCACGAGTGCAGATTAAATCATGGGTGCTCGGATCCTCTGGGCTATATTGGCGATGATGGCAAGAACATGGTTGATTCCGATTGAGGGGAATGATGGCAAGAGCTTAATGTCACCCTGTTGGCGAAGCAGGGTTGCAAATCTATTCGCAGACGCGCAAAATGAATAGTCGATCATCGGGTAGGATCCACTAATCTGTGCAAACTCTTAGCTTCAAGGCCAGCGATTTTCTTTCATCAGGCCAATCATATCATTCAAAAGCTAATTGCCTGCCCACAGCATGAAGACTTGAAGCATCCTCGTGCAGTCCAGACGCCTTCATCTCACGCACATCTCCGATGGCAATCAATGCAGGAATAATGGTAAGTCCATTTGCTCCTGACGCGACCGCAAACGTGGGCGGTACAACAATGCACAGCAAGGTCGCGCCAAATTGCGATGATTTCATCCAAACGCTTCGCCGGTTGTTTTGTTTGTTGAGCTGGCGCCCACAAAATTCACCATTAGTGCTTGTCTTTGCAAATATAGATGCAGCGCAAAGAACCTCAACGACCTCTACCACTAAAAGACCGATAACCGAGATAATTACGCGTTGGAATGAAGATCTGAAATAGTTTGACATGTCTGACCTTCGAAAACGCGAACTCTGCATGTAATGCATGCCATTGCGCATACTATCGACTCTGGAAATAATTAATCGTCGTGTCGGAATGATGTACTGAGTTACCGATTGGTCGAAACAATAATGTGTTCAAACTCAAGAAACTCTACAGACTGCCTTGTCGCTATAGGAAACCGCGTCTGAAACTTAGGTGGATTACACTGACGATCGGAATTCGCAGAGTCCTGTGATTGGGGATCGGACGTCATATAATGGGTCTGCGTGTCGCCGTTCTGGTTGGACGGCGGTCATCAACGGAAGTTGGAATCGCACATACTGACGTCACACGGCCACCTCAGCAATACTCATCACGCATCTACTTGAGGCTATCGCGAACAGCTTCTACAAATTCAGCACTGGCACCACACACGTTTAGTACGTACAACGGTTCGACCTCTGCTACCATGTGTCATCAAGCTCGGTTCCCAACAACGGATGCACTTTATTGACAAAGGGCATTCGGTCTGGAGAAAGGCCCAGCGAGGCCGTTCCGAAATCACAGTGCACATCGGCGTGAATACTAACATTTGATTCGCGAGGACGAGCAATGATGCTGAAAGGGAGGAATAGGCGGAGGAGCCGAACCAGGATGAGTTGGAAGCGAGCAGGAGAGAGGCAAAAGGGGAAAGGGCATGGATGGGGAGGAACGGGTGCGAGGAGAAAGAGGCAGGATAGGGCTGCGAGGCGGAGGGACAAATAATTCTGCCTATAATTGAGCTGAACGTTAAGCCTACCGTCTGTTGTTGAAGCTTAGACGTGCCCAGATGAGCTTAGGTTAAGCTTACATCGGTGTGCATATGTGTGCGTGTGAATCTATATATATATATATATATAAACATATGTATATATGTGTGTATCCACACACACACACATATATATATATATATATGTATCCACCACCGTGCCTTTCAGGCACGAGCTGGAGTGTCCTCAGGTCCCTTGCTCAACCCCCTTGAGCCTCAGTCCTAAATCATGCGGATTCGTTCAGGGCCCCGGACCCCAACTTCTTGAATATATTGGGGGTTGTCGCGTGACTCAAGACGGGCCAACAGTTCCTCAAGAGGCCCCAAAGATGGCCCCTAATCGCTGAACGATCGGTTCAAAACACCCAAGGTGATCTCCAGTCAGCCGAAAAACGCCCAAGACGTCCCAAAAGGCCCCCACTAGCCTTCCCAAGAGGGCCCCAGGAGGCCAACATCATTGAGAACCCTCGGGTTCTCAATGTTTTGGGGAGAACCTCCACTTTTCGAGCTCCCGACGCTCCAAAATTACCAAAAAAGACCCCAAAGACCGCCCCGAGATGGCCCAAGAGACGCCCAGGACGGCCACAAGACGGGCTCAAGAGTTCACGGCGTGCCAGACGTCTGGCAGGGGTTCGGTTCTTTTCTAAAGAACTCCCCCTGGGGTTTCGGCCCAGCCCGCCAGCCACCCAGAAAAGGTGGGAGGTGAGGTTGCGTCCACTCGAGATGTCCTCAAGCTGGCCTCCCAAACGGCCAAGATTGTCCAAGATGGTCTGCAAGATGCCTCTAACAAGGTTAAGATGGCCCCAGGTGGCTGGCCTCCAAGACGGTCCCAAGACGCTTCTAAAGTGACCATGATGGCCCCAAGACGTCCCAACATGAAGGCCCAAGACGGCCTCCAGACGGCCCGAGAGGCCCCTCAGAATCCCCAAGCGGGCTGAAAGAAGAACTCCAGAAGGCACACATCCTTGATATGTTGCTCTATGATTTTCACTGATTGTCGCGCGTTCTCCCCGTTTCGGGCCTCCGAATCTCCAAGTCGGGCCCATAGGCCCAGAAGATCGCCCCAAGATGGCCCTGTAGGCCCGCAAGACGGCCCTAAGACAGCCCAAGAGGCCCCCAAGACGGCACCCAGAAGGACTCAGAGACCTCCAAGGCGGCCCTCAAGCGGGCCCCAAGACAGCCTCCGAAGACCTAGCTGTCCCATTCGAGGCACCCACAAGCCCCTAAGATGTCCCCAAGAGGCCCTAGGAGAATCCCAAAAGGCCCCAGGAGGCTCCCAAGAGGCCCCTTCCAGCTCCGCCCAACGGGCTCCCAGGAATGCCCCAGGAGGCCTCAAGAGGGTCTCAAGAGGCTTTCACTTCTTCCTCCTCCTCCTCCTTCTCCTCCCTCTCCTCCCCTTTCTCTTCCTCTTTCCAGTGTTCCCCCAGGGGTTTTCACAAGCTTGGCTGGACTTCGGCCCAACGTTTGGCCGCATGTGCGCTTCCAGAAAGCAGGGAACGGCGATGATTCGCCGCAGGCGTCTTCGACAACCTTCGAAGGGAGAGGCGGGGTAGCGACGAGCGGTGGCAAAACCGGAGGGGAAGAAGACGGGGACCGTCACCAAGACCTAACGCGGAAACGCCGCTTCGATCTCGGCCACCGCCGATCGCGGTCAGCGTCGATGCGCTGATGCTCCTCGCGCATCGGCGACGCTCGACATTTGAGGAATACCAAACGGCATGAACATACACTTTTGGCGCTCCGCGCGGATTTCTTGGATCTGCGCTGGGCCCCCCTCCCTGGCGCGCGGAGTGCGCCAGGGGCGGCGCAGGACGCGCCGCCGGGGGGCCCAGCGTGGACCCAAAGAACTGCGCGCGGAGCGCCAAACGTGCTGTGCATGGCCTTTTTTTTCTTCTTCGAGACCTGGGACCGTGACCAAGATCGGCATCGACAAGACGCCGCACATTCTGTCCACCGCCCCGCCCCCGCGCTGCTGCCCTCCGAACGGCGCCCGCGGCGCCTGCTCGACGCCGGCGGCCAGCAGCTCCAGGAGGGGCCGCTTCGCCCCCGCCTCCCACGCCTTCTGGCACGGGGCGTCCTCCCCGGGGGCGCCGGCCGCGGCGGCGACGAAGGGCGCCCCGGCAGGGTCAGGCAGGATCGCGCTAAGAATAGACACCACCACCTTGGTCTTCCCTGCCCTGGTGGTGGTGGTGTACTCCAAATTTCGTAATAAAGGGAGGGGGGTCTCATTTCGGGGGGGGGTCTCTTCCAGGCTATCTTGGAGGGCCTGGGGGGTCTGGGGACGACGTTTTGGAGGGTTCTCCCACGAGGGAGGTCTGACATGGCTTGTCTTGGAGGGTCCAGACCCCCTCCCTTTTATTACGAAATCTGGAGTACAGGTTCGGGCCCCGCACAGTCCGCACCGCATCCGGAGGTCGGATCGGATCGGAGCGTGCGTGCGTCTGCGGCAGCTCACGGGGGGCATCCCATGCCATCTGGTTGGCTCCTGCGACTGGGCGCTGATCGACGTTAGCCGACGCTACATCGAAGCCAAATCGACGCCACATCGAAGCCAAATCGACACCACATCGAAGCGAGTCGACGACAAAACCGCGCTATCTCATTAACTACCAAACGCCAATCCACCCGACTGCTCTCGAATGGCGGAGTTACGAGGGTCTACAAGGCCGCCATGATTTGCGATCGAATGCGTCGATTCGGGCCGCATCGGCACGGAGCTGGAACGGAACCAGATCGGCCGCGCCCGAGTGCACAGCAGCACCACGTGATCATCGGGCCGCACCAGCTCGTCGGAGAACCAGGATCGAGTCGGATCGGGTCGGCCGAGCGAATTCGGTTCCGAAGTGGACAGGTTGGAACGACGTGTATCAAAGGATACGCCCACCTCGATCCCTGACTGCGTCGGGCTTTGGAGCGGACGCAGGCGTTTGCCACAACTCTCGGATACACGATAGGAGGGCGCCCTTCCTCGATGGGGCTGCGTCTGGATAGCCCCCCTTGGGGTGCATCCTCGAGTCCCCCTTCTTTTCCCGGATGGCTCCTGGCTAAGAGGGTCGTTAAATAAGACACAGGCGGGCAGGCCACGCCGGCTCCTCTCCAAGGCTCCCGGACGGGCATCCTCGCAGCGCCTCCCGTGATTTTGCAGCGAATCCCGAGGGCGTTGCCTTACTCCTTCCCAGTACGCGTGCCGGAAGCCTTCCCACAGCTCCGTCGAAGCTTCCTCGGGGCTTTTGCGAAGCTCCTTTCGCAAGCTTGCAAGCTCCCCAGGCATGCGTTCCAGCTTTCTTGCAAGCGTCCCCCACAGGCATTTCACGCGCTTTGGACTGCGCTGTTATCCGGGATTTGGACGCTACAAGTTTTGAGCGTTTTTTCTTAAGAAATCAGGAGTTGGGGGCGAAAAGCAGCCTGCGAATTATGGACCCTGAAGGCTGCCCTCCGGCCTGCACGCACGTGCTGAGAGGCGCGCGCGCGCGAGCTCCAAGGAGCACGCGCGCGCGAAGTTCTCCACTGCCCTGGGAAGAGAGGCTGCCCTCCTGGAGCCGAGGCGGGGATGTGAATCCATGCCCACCGCCCGGTGAGTCGATCCTTGGGGAACCTCGGCGGGCGGTGGACATGTGTGCCATTGTTCCATTCGCCCGCACGCAAGTCACTTGCATGGGGGGGGCGTGGCAAGGGGCGTGGCGAGGCCTGAAAGGAGATTGGCACATTACACAGGGTCCGGACCCACTTGCACGCCTTTTCCGCCGAGCGCTGTTTGACAAAGCGGGGGAAGGGTGGAGGGGGGAAGTCTCACACAAATAAGCCTGCCAGAATCCGCAACACTCGCGGTCTATGCTAGGAGAGGCCCCTCCTGGGAGCATCTCGCAAGAACGAGTAAGGGCAACTGAAGCCGATTGCGGAGCCATGAAGCTGAAGCATCCCAGAGAGAGAGAGCCCAGGACTCCGGTCGGGAACCTCTGCACAGCGTGTCGCGGCGGCGACCCCGGCGACACACTCTGCCTGGGACAGCCTCGAGACGTTCACGCTCGGCGGCTGGGACGTGGACAGCGCTTCGCACCCGAGCGCGGAGGGCCATAGCCCGCGACCCGACACGCTAAACCAGAGTTCCTGACCGTGGGCCCGATTAAGCAGATTGGCCAGAGACGTCACGGGGTTCTCCCAGTTCTCGACCACGGATCTGCCACTGCTGGCGCCGAAGCGAACCTCCCAGGAGCTGCATCCTAAGACATGGATGCGCTTGCCACCCCGAGGGGCCGACCGTCTCCATGTCCACCGTGGCCCTTCGGCGCCCTGCCCTGTCCCGCTGCATGCTCCGCTTGTGCGCTCCAGGAAGCAAAACACACTCTTCGGCGGCAGTTCATGGGAGCCTCCCAGACCATGTTGTCGGCTCCTGCGAGCCGACGCTCATCCACGCTAAATCGACGCTAGTCGACGCTAGATCGACGCTCATCGGCGCTAACCGACGCTAAATCGGCGCTATCTCATCGACTCCCAAGCGCTAATCGACGCGAATCGACGCTAAGGACGGAATTAACAGGGTACGCCAGGATCCCATGATTTGCTACCGAAGCATTCTGAGCTTGGGTAGGGAATGTCTGCACGAACGACGCCCGCACAGCAACCATACCCACCGAACTCGACGGAAGCTGTTCGCGAATGGGTCTCCAAACGATGCGTACCCGAAATGCTAACGCAGAGGTTCCGCAGGAAGCGTCTTATGCGACGCAATCGCTTCACATGAGGAGGAGGAGGAGGAGGAGGAGGAGGAGGAGGAGCAGCAGGAGGAGCAGGTAGAGGGGGACACAGGAGGAAGGACAATCAGCTGGCGAATGATACGAATTCTGCCTGGAACGTTGCCGAAGGAGGCGTACCCGAAAAGCTCACGCAGCGGTGCCGCAGGGAGCGCCGTCACGTGCACTCTCGGGTGCTGCCTCTCGTCTCTCTCTCCCTTGGGCCCTTGGGACTCCTCGGCCGCCAGCATCGCGAGCGCGAAGGCAGCCTGCCTCTTCGCGTCTTCGCCCACGCTCCTGGGCTGCGCAAGAGCATACTCGAAGGAACGCATGAGAACCGCCCCCCGCCCCCCACATGAGGAGATGTAGACCAACAAGATCGCTCGCGCGGGGCCCCTCCCCCTGCGGCAGCTCGCAATGGCCTCGCTCACAGGGCACCTACACTTACGCACATTCGCCATGATTCCAAAACGCGGACATGGAAAATCCATTGTTGTGGGGGCTGGGGTCGGTTTCCCACTGTTCATCTAAAACGTCTCGTCCCGCGCTTCGGCTTCAATACACGAGACTGAACTGCTGCATCCGCATCCCTGCCAGACATACGTCTTCCTACAGTGCCGAATGAGTATTCGTTGTAGCTTCCAGCGGTCCCGTTCCAACATAGTTTCTGACGTGTGGTGCGCCATGGCCAAAACTGTCACACATTCGATCAATATCCCTCTTTCCGAAATACCGTAACGCCGGGCAAGGCCCGTGCCGCCTGCTCCCTCTGCGCCAGAACAGGTCCAGGTGACGAGCGAAGCGTTTTTGCTGGCGTTGCCAATGAGCGAATGCAGCCGTCAGAGAGACGAAGCGAACCCTTCGCGCTCCACTTCCCTCCCCCCCCAAGATCCAACGCACGCCGCCAATCGGCGAGCACAGAGCGCCTGCCAACAGAGCAGACAGGTCAAGGACCGACTGGAACTCACGAGCGGCGAACACATCCACGTCCACACCCTGGCGTTCCGGATTCTGGGGCGCGATACCGTGGATACTGAATCACATAAACACGCTCCGCGCGGCAATCCGCCACATAAAGCCTCTCGCATCCATGAGATCGCGGGCCCACGGGCCTAGCCCGAGAGGCTGTGGATATGGATACGCTTCCCGCCCACGAGGACCCAGGCGTGCAAAGCCCAGCAATCCGCTGTTGCAAAAATGCCGGCGCATTTGTGTCGCAACGTGCTCTGTCTCATCTCTTTCTCTCTCTCTCTCTCTCTCTCCGTTGCCAGGGTATTGAGCAGGGGCCGACACCCCTGGCACTCTTAATTGGCCTACCACAACATTCCCAAAACAGCGCTTGCGCTTGGAGGCGTTTATTTCTATTTGAAGGAACTGGGCCTGGGTGGCGGTCTGGCGCGACTCCGTGCTCGCCGTCGCCGCCCCGTCGCCGCCCGCCGCCTGGCAGTCTGGCGCAGCTCCGTGCTCGCCGTCGCCGCCCCTGTCGCCGCCTCGTCGCCGCAACAAGGAGTGCACAACATAGATCGCATCAAAATAGCTTGCACCGCGGAGATCGTACCGGATAATTCCCCCCCCCCATAATTTGCACCACATGAATTATACCGCATCGATTTTCTTTTCTGAAACAATAGATCCCCACCAAGATTTTCCACCCCCTTTTTCCGCATTCCAATTTCAATACGACTCTACCCCATCGCCCATCCGAAATATGAATCCATTCCATCCCAGGCAGGCCAGTATCGACACCCCCAATCGATCTCTGGAAATAATGCTTTGCGCACGCACTCGCTTCTAAAAACGACCCGTGCTCAATAATCCCTTGCAACAGAAAAACGAAAAGAAAGGCACACACGCGCGTCGTCGCGCGAACCAGAATAAATCATTCCCAAACCTTCGGCTTCGTGAAGATTGCAGAATCGTGCGTCCAAGACCATATATAAAAACCATGGTGTCGCAACACTGATCGTAACAAAAATGTGCGCGCGATCTGGCGAATTCCTCAAACGTAACCATCGGCGTTTTTCGACATTTGCACGACATGCAACCAAGTGGGCTTCGCGCGCACATGTCGAAATCCTTGCAACGCCCTTGCGCGCGTGCTGTTGCCACACTCCTTTGCAACACATTCAACGTCATTCACACGCGCGCGTCGTCGCGAGCGCGCGCTGAAACCCGTCAACAAAAACGTCGGGCAACCTGGGGGTTGCAAAACCGAGTGCCCCGGAACCTTATGAAAACAGATTGCTTCACAACAGCGGTTATCAAAAAAACCTGCGCTCGCGCTCTTGCAATTGTTTTAGAAACCGTGTTTTGTTTTTCAAACCTTTCTACTGCACTCTGCCCAGCGGGCCTCTCGTGCCGCATGCCGACATCATGCGAACGCCCCAGCGCGCGTGCTGCGGGGGCACGACCCGTGTCAACTGATACCATGCGGGCCACTCTCGCGCGTCGACTGCGCGCTCATGTCGAACTCCTTCCAAAACCTGCATCACCGACTGCGAATGCGCCGTCATCGTCGTCGGCGTGATCAGCATCGGCGCCGTCACTGGCCGTGCCGTCGTCGCTGCCATTATCGTCGCCAGCCCCGCTACTATCATCATCATGTTTACCGTTGCTGGCGTTACGATGATACCGCGCCCGCCCAAGTCACCGAATCGTACTGAAGTGCCCGCAGGGATGTGCCCAGCGGTCAGCGCCACCGCGGCCGCGTCGTTCGCGCCGCACTAGCTGGTCGCTGCGCGCGCGTGCATGCGTGGGTGGCGCGGCCGCAGAGATGCACCAGCAAACGCCAAGCGCTAATCGGAATCGCCGCCGCATAGATTTTGCAACCAAGTTGCGAATGGGTGGGTGGGATAATTGAAAGAGCATAGGAGGTGGTCAAACGCAATGAACCTTAGTCAATTGCACCGCATAGGTTGCACCGCATAGACAGCGCAACACATATGGCACAACAGACTGTGCAACATCGATGGCCCACCGTACATCACGTAGATAGGGCGACAAACAATACACAACCTAGCTTGCACACCATCAATCGCATCACATTGAGTGCACCACACAGGATGCACAACCTACATAACTAGAAACACGCAACATGAAACCCACGTGGTCTAATACGTTCTTGGGTTACAAGAGAATGTGCGGACAACAAAATCAATGTTCTTCATAAGTGAAATCGATGTCCGATCAGGAGGGTCTCAGCCAAACATGCCCTGAGAACACTCCGTGCAACTCACGAAGAAGTTCCAAGAACATTCATGGGTGGGCCGATCGCCCGGTCGGCACAACTCGCGCCACCTCTCGAAGGGGTGGGAGGCGGGGCCTGGCTCAAAGGGAGGGCGCGGACGTGTCGTCACGGAGGATGGTCTGGCGGGGTCGTGTACCCGACGGGGGGGGGGGGGGCGCGTCGACCACGAGGGGGGGGGGGGCGGCCACATGGGCTCCCGCGCGGGGCCACGCGGCACCAAGCCTGCCACGAGCGGCAAGCGCACCCACGTCGGGCGGGGGTGGCAACGGGGGGTGACCAGGACGGGGGGTGGAGAGAAAAAGGGTTGCACCGACCTGGAATCGGGGATGCATCGCCGGCGGGGTGAGCTGTCGGGCTCTCATTGGCGATGACTGGGCGATTGGGGGTCGATGCGTCCCCCGCTCAGCAAATTCCCCCCTCAGAGTTGCCCCCGACAAGTACCTGGCCCGGGGGACCGAGACGGCGAGCTCGAAGCCCAGTTTCCCTGGGGCCCGCGCGGGGCCCAGCCTCAAGTCTATCCCGCTGAATCAGCAGAGTCATCGTGGACAAACACGTGGGACAGGCAGAACCGACTCCAAAATCCATGCTCTTGGCTACAATAAAGGAAACCAAACTGTCACGCGAGAAGTCCTGCTGCTCGTGATGGCCACCAGAGCGGAGACCATCTGCGGTGCTTCCTCGAAGCCTGATGCAAGCGAAAATGACCAAGGCAGTGGAGAGCAAGGATCGACAACATGGCCCAGTGGAGAGCCCAGCCCTTTCCTGAACACACTGGCGTCTCCTTTAGGCGAAGCCAGGACGATACTAAACTCGGGCGAAGATAAATTGGAAATCCCTGAGATCTGGCGACTCTGGAGGAAGTCTCGAACGCCGCGGCCCTCTCAGAGCGTTCCGGGAAGCTCTTACACCGTTCCAGAACGCTGCTCTGACACGGGCTTCTTCTCGTCCCAGCCCCGTCCGATCCTGCACTCTCTGGCCCTCTGGGATTTGATTATTCTTTATTGACTGCCTACCAGACCACCCCAACCCAACCCGAAGACCCGAATTTCGGGTTGGGGGGTGGTATGGGCTCAATATGTGTTTTTTCCATGTTCCCGGACCCCCCCCCACTGGAAATGGAGGGCAAAATGAGGCCTTCGGGTTGGGTTGGGGTGGTTTGGTGGGTGGTGATTTATGGCTGCTCCGCTCTCCAGCCCCTCCCTTCCGCACTCCGGCCAGCGTCACAAGACAGCAAGAGCTGCCCAAGTAGGGCCTGTCACGGATCCTATACGGATTCCACGGGGCGGCGCTGGACCACCCTCCCGGGGCAGAGGAGCAGGCCAGGGGCGCCGCCAGAGGCGCCGCCAGGGGGTCCGGCGCTGATCCAAGAGATCCGCGCAAATGCCTTCGGAACTTTGTATCAATTCTGCTCGTTTTCCTTCGATGCGTCCCCTGTGGCTCCCACTGGGCACCCCTTCAGGAGACCATTGTCAGACACGCCGCTCCGATCCCAGGGAGGGCCGAGTAGCCCTGGCCTGGGAGTTGGGCCAGATATAGCCGCCCTCGCCCCAGTGTTTGAGCGAAACTGCCGCCGAAAACCACAGAAGCACACCCGCCTTTACCAATCATTTGTTTGTGTTGTTTTTGTTTTTTGAGGGAGAAGATGGGAGCGGACCGCAAAATTCAAGAACCACCGTCGTAACGCGAATGCCAGCTGCACTTGAAAGCCGTTTTCCTTCTCAACAAAAGTGTGGAAACGGACGCAGGAAACGACAAGGCAAATAACACAAGAAACGAATTCGCCGGAAAATGTATCACCCCCGTGCCAGCGAGCCAGCAGCAGTGCAGAGATGATAGCAAAAACCTGCAATAGCCCCGGAGACATCCGGCCCCTAAAAGCAAACATCTGCTGTCTCGGCCGCGTGGCCGGCGTAATCGTAAGAAGCTCCGTGAATCACCACGCAAACTGCACGCTCACGATGAAATGAACCGCCCAGTCGCAACATCAGCTGACCATGGCGAAAGCCTGGATTGAAGGCGAAGTGGCATGAGCCACAACGCAATGCCGAGGAAGCGAAACTAGAATTACCTGACACAGGACGCCATATAAACACAACGCTGGAGGGGGTGGAGCAGCAGCAGAAGCAAGAGAGCAGCAGAGACGAGAGAACACAGAGACAATCCTGCAGTCTCAATCGAATCGACAGGTAAATCATACCACACGCAAGCAGAAGGCCAGCATCAAGCGGAGCCTTTCGTCACACTGGGAGCGTTGTCGCTGAAGATGTTGGCCAGTGCGCCAGCGGCGTACTCCTCGCTGGGGGGGAAGGCGAGCGAACGCCGCAGCCAATTTGAAATATTCGCGATAGAGCCCGTGGCTGGCCCCCCGCGCCCCCCCGCCCCGGTTACGTCACGATTCGCGCCCGCGCCGTCTGGGAACCAGCCACTCTCGGCTTCACATAAGAGTGACCCCGGGTAAGAGTGACCTTTGGTGCGCGGCTTTCGCGGAGCTGCGGGGGGGCCAACCCCGTCGCGCAAGACACTACTGCCGCATCGCCGAACCCCGATGGGCCCGCACCAACGGTCACTCCGGCGGAAGGTCACTCTTATGTGCAATCGACACTCCTGAGCGTTCCCCCAGACGGCGCCGGCGCGAATCGTGTCGTGACCGGCCCCCTCCCCTCCCCCTCCCGCCCCCGATAACGCCCGCTATCGCCAGGGGGTGAAAAAATGGTCTCTCGTAAACGTGGCACTGAGGCAAGGAGTCGGAGTCGGTGCAGCCAAGCGGTGGGAAGCAAGCTGCACTGAGAAGTCGCCTGCCCGTCGGCTTGCTTGCCGTCCGGAGCTCCTCGAGCTGCAGATCTCGAGGGAGGGCTGCGAGTGAAAGGGCCCCAGGCGCAGGCTCTCCGGGCGCGGCTCCGGAGCTCCCCGGGGCCGCCCAGGACGGCCACGGCCCGACCAGGCCGCCCCGAGGCGGCCGTGCTGCGCCACTCCGGGGGAGCTCGTCGGAAGCTCGGCGCCCAGGACGGCCCGAGGACCTCCACGGGCCCTCCAGAGGCCCGATCGGGGCGGCCCCAGAGAAGTTGGCACCGATCAAACAACAACACACATGCAACGCATCGGCCGCGCCATGCAACAACATCGTGGTGGTGCCCTGGCAGTGTTCTCGAGCCTCGTCGGGAGAGGTCGGCAGAACATCCTTCGGCGGCGATCTCAAAGGCCGGTGGGCTTCTGCGAAACCTCCGCGCCTTCTGAGAAGCCGTCTGCAGATTCGGAGAAGGATTGCAAGGCTTCTCAGAAGGCGGGAGGGCTTCTGAACATCCCCGCGGCCTTCTGAGACGGCCTGCCCACTCTCACTTCTTCACGCGCCCGCCGCCGAATCATGCGTGCATGTTGCTGCCGTGATGGCACGGTGGCGGGGCGTGCCGCAGTCTGCTAAACACCACCGTCACTCCCGGCTATTTGCCACACTGTAGAGCCAACGAAAGCTGATGCCCCCAGGGACGCTTCCAGCCTGGTTCTGGGCCCGCAGGGTCGCATTCCGCATCTGGACCTCGATCACAATGTCTGCAGACGTACTGTCGGAGAGTCTACGGAATCGGCTCAACGATATAATCTCTCTCGCAGGCGTGCACGAAGCACCGCTGCCGTTCCCGAGGCATCCCCTGCGCAGGCCTCGCGCACCGAACCTCTGCTCCTCCGGCGTGCCATCCCCCGCTGCTGCTCTCTTTCGTTCCTTCAATCGGGGATGGACAGACCCCCCTTTAGTAAAACGAGGTTTAGTGAAAACGACCTGAGGCCCAAACCTGGCGGGCGCAAGCTTGGAAAATAACGGCCACGGCGCCCTCTCGAGAACCGAAAACGGACAATTCACTAATCGACGTGTCACTGTTGGGGGTTCTGTCCACCCCCGATTCAAGGCCCACACTGCAGGAGACCGGAGCAATTTCGTACAGGTCATATGAAGCAGCGTGGCACCCTGACAAGTGCAGCTTCTCGCTTCAATAACCACACCACCTGCTCCTCTTCCTCCTCCTCCTCCTCCCTCCTCCTCCTCCTCCTCCTCCTCCTCCTCCTCCTGCTCCTGCTCCTCCTCCTCCTCCTCCTCCTCCTCCTCCTCCTCCTCCTCCTGCCTGCCTGTTACCTACTAACGAGACGCACTACAGTCAACCCGTATAGCAAGGATGCGCGATAAGGACGCAAGGGCCTTGGAAGGCCGTGTCGAAGCTTTGCGAGCGGGGCGCGGCCATCGAAAGTGGCCAAGGATGGGCCGCAGGGGCAAGGATGCAAGGTTAGCCTTGGGAAGGTTGCCCATCCTTACTATGCGGGTTGACTGTAGCATACAGTGCAATCGCACCTGTCACGATAGCGCTCAAAACAAGGTCGTGCTTTCCCGGGCTAGGGGCGAGCCAAGGCGAGCAATGCGGTGGTGAAAACCATCAGACGAGTAACATACTTACAGTAGACCAGCCACCATCGAGAAAGGAGGAGGCGAGACGAGGAGACAACGACGGAGGGACAACAGGAGGTCGCAGCCCCAAAAAGCGCTCAAGAAGCCCCCAAGAGGCTCCCAAGAGGCCCAAGGGAGCCAAAACCAGGCGTTGGCAGAACTGGGTTTAGGGGAACCCAGTTTAGTGATTTGTACCAGGGGCGCCCCGGTACCAGAACTGCCGTCACCCGAAAAGCACCAGTTACGGCAAACCTGGTTTAGTGAATCTGGCCAATTGAGGGGCCCCAGGGCCCTACCACTAATCGGGTTCCCTTAATTACCCGGGGTCCTGGCTATTCCCGACAAAAGAGCACTGCCAAGACAACCCCCAGAGGTAAACTCAAAGATTGTCCTTCAAGTGTTGGATGTAGTTCGTCATCGTCGTCGTTGCCGTCGTTCCCCTTCAGGGTCGGCGGCACTGGCAGTAAGGCTGTCGCAATCACCAAACGAGAGGCATGCGCAACGCCAGCCAGAATCGAGACAGGAGGCGGCGAGACGAGACGACCACAGCAACGAAGCCAGGGACAGCGAGAGGAACGCAACGCTGCAAAGCACACGATCCCTGCACACTCCCCTCGGCCCCCTGCCGCACAGAATCAGCGTCTGCCTGGCCAACGTCCGCGACCGCCGTCGACCGCACACTCTGGGCGGACAGACGGCGGCAACGCGGCCAGGGCCCACCGAGGCCAGAACGGGGCAGCGCAGACAGGGCGCCCAGGGGCCGGCGTCGCCCGAGCTCGCCTCCCCTCTGCGTGCCGTCGGGCTCGCCCGCGGCGCGAGCGGGGCCACGCGAGGCCAGGCGAGGCAGATCTTCTGCCATCATGCGCTCGCCGCCGGGGGACGCGACCTCCCAAGACCCCACGGGGGGCCGTGGACACGGAGAACGCAGCCGGGCCCCGGGAGGCCGGAAGGGGGGCCTCAGCCACCGGCTCCCGACCTTGAGACTCCAAGGTCGATCTATAGTGCGGGGTCGAACTATAATGCGGGGGTTATACTTTTCTGCGGGTCGATCTATAGTTCGGGCGCGCCGAAAATAGTTCGACCCGCCGTTTTGGGGCAAACGGGGCTTCAGCGCCCATGCTCGCGCTCGCCCCACTGGGAGGGGTCCAACATATATTTGAGCCGACAGCAATGAATGACAACGATACACACAGAAGCGTTCTTTTCAAAGCATGCGCACAATCGGCTGGCCGCAGAACTTAGAGATGCATGCCACCGAAAACGCTCTCATGGACCTCCTTTGGCCCCTCCTTCGGCCAAATGCAGCTACAGATCCACCGAAATCCTCATCCCTATAGTTCCAGTGCTTCGCTGGTTCACCGCCGCCCATGCACAGCTCCAGAAACATGTGCATTTTAGGCTTCACTTTAAAATGGGCAGGAAGCGCGTCTTGCAAAGCGGCCGTCTGCGTGGCAAACTTACTCGAATGCTCTCTAAGAATGTCCACAGCAAATGGGTGATTGTCAGAGAGTGCCTCGTAACACCGACATAAGCTTTTCATCCCTGCGTGAATGGACGATTCTACAGCTGCCCGCTCGTCGACGCCATTCCTCCTATCAAGGAAAGCCTCCGCCATCTCCAATGCCCATGGAACCATGTGCCTGAGCATCCCCGCGCCGCACCTCATCTTAGCCGTCGTTGCTTTTTTTCCTTTCACAACGCCCCGCGTCAGTCTCGATAGGCGGCTGGTCTTCTCACCTGGCGGCTGCCTGTCGTAGAACGCCATCAAATGACCATGTAGTGTGGAGACGCGGCCTTTCTGGGTAGTTCCAGCCACCTTTTTGTGCGTTACAAGATACCATAGCAAACCCCCTATGAAGTCAGCCGCTACTCCAAGATCAACAACGTGTAACCAATCTAGCTTCAGCAACTTTTCGTTCGCATACGGCACTTGGAAGAGAGGGCACACCTGCTCGCCTGAAACGATAATCTTCGCAAGGACTTCTGGCCATGTGCGTCGGTGCGTTCTCCACGGCGCGTCTCTCCCAGTCTGCGATTTCACCTGCGGGGAGTAGCCAAAAACACTCCTCCTCCTCCTCCTCCTCCTCCTCCTCCTCCTCCTCCACCCCTCCTCCCCCTCCTCCTCCACCCCCCCTGGAAGGGGCCGCAAAACGACGACGACGCACCCCCTCCCAGAGGGGATTTCCTTCCTCCCCTGATGTGTTGCGCCCCCATGGCCTCGTCCTTCTTGATGTTGCACAGGAAGCATACTTCGTCATCTTGCCAGCCAGGTAGCTTGAGCACCTCCTTCATCATCTTCCAGTCCCCTTTGATCTGGCAAAGCACTCCGCCAATTGGTAGGGTTGCATCGGCCACTTGTCGGCGCTTCCTCCAGGCGTCCTGCGCGCCGAAGGGAGAGCCGTCGTGCCGTGCCGCCGGCCAGCGCTTCGCAGCCAAGTGAACAAAGCTCCACTGCACCACTGCAAAAACATCATCAAATGTGTTGGGGCCCACGTGCTCTTTGAGGAACGCTGTGATTGGGACCCGCAGGTTTTTCCAGCGCCCCGCAGCCCCTGGCAACATGAGGCTGATGATCTCTGCGCTCATCGATCGGTCCCAAAAGCAAGGGACCCCGTCCTGCCACACGCCCAGGGCCACCAGGTCGTTGCAACCACTCTCCGCCCTGGCTCTTTGCACGTGGCGCAGAGACACGCCGTCGAGACTCGACGTCTCCAGTAGCACGCTCCGCTCGCCAAAATGATGAAGTTGATGAAGTATTCGTGAGGAAGCATCATCGCTAAGTCCATCAGTTGTTCTGTTTCAGACTTGGGGCCCCAGCCCCTCACCTGGCAGTGATAGAGCGGAGGCCACCCTTTCCTGAAGAAA